TAGGATTGCCCAACCTTCCTTCCGAGGAGTGGCTGGTGGGTTTGAACCGCCAGCCGTCTGGTTAGCAGGCAAGTGTCTTAGCCACTATGCTACCAGAGCTGGGCCCTAGCACATAGTAAGTATTCAGCAAGTGTTTGTTGATAAAGACAAAGAAAAAAAGCAACATCAGAATGTGACTAGTGAAGTTAGTGTTGGAATAATTTACATTGTTGTTTTGGAAAGGACAGTGACTTATGTGCACTTCCTTTTGCCTCCTACAGTTTTAAGAGCAGTTGTGATGAGTTTGAGGAAATGGATCCAGTCCAAGAAATGGCCCTAAATTGGTTGATTGGATTGCAGTTGTAGACATGTGTTTGCAGCAGCAGGTTTAAGGTAGCCACCACTAAAGCCTCCAGAGGTGGGCCTGAAAGTGCTGCTGGCTCCATGGTTGAGACACCCTGGCCTGGCCTCGTAGGCAGTGAAAGGACCTTGAGAAGGGGCCTGGTACTGGCCAGCCTAACAGCTCCTCCATCTCCCCAATTGTAAAATAAGTGGCCTGACTAGGGACCCCTAAGTTCTTTTCATTTTATTTTTAAACTACAGCTCTAAAAAATTGAAACCATGCTTTATAAGAGGAAAAATATACGTACGATTACCTTCTGCCCTCTATTTACTGAACACAGTGTGCCAGGAGTTGAGAATACAGTGATAAAGAAGTAATAGGGCCTGGTCTCAAGAAGCTCAGTCTCTTCCCAGAGACTCAGACATTTATATGTAGTTAACTCTGACTCAGGGCTGTGAGGGCTGTACTCAAAAACTTAACTCATTCACCAGACATTTTTTGAGTGCCTTCCTGTCTCTAGGAGCTTACAGAATGTGGGGAAATAATAACCTATACCAGAAAGTAGGGAGGTCCCTGCAGAAAAGCCATACTAGGTGATGAGAATAACAAGAGCTCAGACCCCAGAGCATTGCTGGATAACCAGCCCAGCCTGACTCCGAGCTGCTGGAGAGGCTAAGTCTGGTAGAGTAGATGGGAGGATGACAACGAGATGGTGGGAGGTATGGGCCAGATTGGTGAAAAAAACAGTGCAGTTGAGTCAATTCCAACTCTTAATGACACTTTAGGGCAGAGCAGAACTGCCCTATAGGGTTTCCAAGGCTATAAATCTTTACAGAAACAAACCACCTCAACTTTCTTCCATTGAACAGCTGATGAGTTCCAACCATGGGCCTTTTGGTTAGCAGCCAAATGCTTTTAACTACTATACTACCAGAGGTCTTTAGATTGGTGAAGGGAGGCCAAAAAGCTCAGGGTCAGTTTGTGGTGGTGGTGTTCTTGGGTGCTGTTGAGTAGATTCCAGCTCATAGTGACCCCATGTGACAGAGTAGAACTGCCTTATAGGGTTTTCTTGGCCATAATCTTTATGGAAGATTGCCAGCTCTTTCTGCCACAAAGCCATTGGGTGGGTTCAAACAGCCAGCCTTTCAATTAGCAGCCAAGAGCTTAACCGTTCGCCACCTAAAAAAACCCAAACCAAACCCCATTGCAAGTCAATTCTGATTCATAGTAACTTTATAGGACAGAGAAGAACTGCCTCATAAGGGTTCCAAGGCTGTAATCTTTATGGGAGCAGACTGCCACATCTTTCTACCATGGAACCACTGGTGGATTCAAACCACCAGTAGATTAGAACCATCAATTTTTCAGTTGGCAGCTGAGCACTTAACCACTGTGCTTCCAGGCCTCCTCCATTTGCCACCAGGGCTCCTCAAATGTGGAGCCTAGACTTTTTGTAAACACTAATGGCTGAGTTGTTTAAAGCTGTGAAACCAAACCAAAACCAAAATCGCTGCCATCAGGTTGAATCCTACTGATAGTGACTTCATAGGGCAGAGTAGAACTGCCCCATAGGGTTTCTAAGGCTATAAATCTTTATGGAAGCAGACTGCCTCATCTTTCTCCCATAAAATGGTTGGTGAATTCAAACCACCGGCCTTTTGGTTAGCAGTAAAATACATTAATCACTATACTAGCAGAGCTCCTAAATGTGGGAGAGCAGGAGTTAGCTTAATCAGGTCTGTATTTGCCAAAGATGGAACTGTTAGCAGTGAGGATGGGTCAGAGCAGTGGGAGATGGGACACATAGATAGAGATGAAGGCTAATATTAGGTAGTGTGAGACAGTGCCTGGGAAGACCTACAGAGGCAAGGACTGAGGAAAGATTTAAGAGAAGAAATTAGGCTTCCGGCAAGATGGCAGACTAGGCAGAAGGATTGCACAGACCCTCTTCAACAAAGAAAAGGGAAACCAATTAACACAGACACAGAAGATAATCTTGGACCCCTGAGCCTTGA